ACCAAAATGAATCTTTCCTAAGTTTATTGTAGGTCTTTGTGACATTGATAAAAAAAAATCAACTAATATAATGTAAACCACATTCATTATTTAAATAGTGTAGGTCATGCTTACAAAATTTAAAGAACATTTTATGTTACTGCAAGAACTTTTAACATATGTGCTCCTAGATGACAGCAAAGGGCCAGCCTTGACATTAGTCCTTTCTAAATATAGTAGTTTCTATATCTGGTAGTCTGAGCAACAAATTGAATGATAGCAATATGTAATATAGCAACCATTGTTAATTTCCTATTCTTATTTTGAAGTTCTATATCATTTTTATTGTTTTATGTTGCTTTGTTTTTGCCTTTGTTCTTGTTACATTTTTTCTCTTTAAACTAAAATAAAAAATAAATATAAGCAGTTTTGTACCTATTATAGTATTTTTGTGTGTGTGGTGTGCATAGTCCATCCATTGGCCAAGGCATCTTATTGTAAAATTATTAATAGGCTCCCAATTTGCAGGATGAAATCAGTAGTACTGACTTCACTTGAAATTCAGGGGTCTTAGATATATTCAGTTAAAAAAATCCCTTTAACTGTAAATCTGCATGTTAGCCAGAGGTTCTTATTATTTATATTAACCTCTTTTAATTTGACTCAGGCATCAAATCAAATCAAATACATTGTAATTCTGATTAGTAAATTGAAGCTGATTAACATGTCATGAGAATCTAGGTACATAACAAGAGGTACAGAGTTTGCAACTAAGTCATCTCGATGATGATACATACTATTCAGGGGATACAGGCTAGATGAAGGTTAATAGGGCCTCGGTGTGCCTTCCCACTGTGTATCCTCTTGCTGCAGGTCTCCATGTCCTCAAACAACTCAGTTCAATCTTTCATTTTAGACAAACTATTCAAAGGCAACCCGTTTCTATTAGTATTATTTCTCTGTGGCATCATTTTAGTTAGTGCCACATGAGTATGGACAGTGTTGGGAAGTGTTCCTGGTGAGTGTTGGAGCTGGGGCTATGCCTGGCTGTCTCCTGGACAGCACTGCTGTCTGGGATCATTGGCTTAGCCGTCAGCTGAAGTTCAAGTCCTCAGAGCCTTTTGCTGTTCAAAAGCAGCAATGCAAGATGAATGTGCTTTTCCACCTACATCTTCCCACATGCTGGGTTTTCGGTTTTTCACTGTTACTATAAAATTAGTGTGTTACTTAGAAATAATAATTTTACATTTTTCCTTATTGTTATCTGGATTTTTTTAAGCTGGAAGGGTTATACAAATTTATGCAGAAAAATATTTTTTTAAATGTCAACCAGAAAAACATCATGTTTAAAAATTGGTTATAAAAAAAAAGAAAAAGAAAAAGGGCCAGGGAGATGGCTCAGTGGAATAAGCACTTCCCTGGCAAGTGCAAGGGCCTGAGTTCAATCCCCAGTACCGCAAAAAAAAAAAAAAAAAGAATTGGTTATGACAAAACCCCAAATTTTCAGAACTATGATGTGCTTACATAACTTGCTCTCATTCTGTCCTGGTCATTTATTTAAAAAACAGTCTAGTAAAGATCAACTTTTATCTGGGACAGCTGTATTTAGTCAGGGCCTCATGCATGCTATAGAATGGTGAGTGCTCTCTAGTGCTGAGCTAGAACTACAGTACTGGGACAATTGCACTTACTAACCAAACCATAATTAAGCAGAAGGGTGCACAAAGTAATCAGGGTATCAGTTCACTGTTGCAAACTTCAAATAATCTGGAAAACTGAACACAAGGTAGTATTTGTGAGACTTTTCTGAGCAGTCAAGAGTCCTATCTATCAGGAGTGGATGGAGAGACCCCTGCCCATGCTCTGCTGTCCCCTGACTTCAACTGTCAATAGCAAACACACATGAAGTAGAGTTCTCATGAGCAAATTAGTACCTGTGATTTTTCATGTGTCACCTTGATTTGTCATGATTGAATATTACTCCTAGATGTGTCTGTGAAGCCGTTGATGTGGTGAGCATTGTAATTGGTGGACTCAGTAAGGAGGATTGTTGTCTCCAGTGTGGATGGGCATCAACTATCCTCTAAGTGCTTTTACAGAGCAAAATAGAGGAAGAGTAATTTGTTCTTTTGTGTGTGTCATTGCATGGCACAGGATATTTCATCTCATTTTCTCTTGCCCTTGCACTTAGATTTGCACTACTGGCTCCCTCGGGTCTCATGCCTTTGGACACAGACTGAGTTATACCACCAGCTCTTCATTCTTCAACTTACAGATAAAAGGTGCTAGGGCATCTCAAAATCCATAATTGTGTTGATCCATTCATTCATTCCATTCTTCTGTGTATGTGTCTTATGCGTGTGTATGTATGTGCCTGCACTCTCCTGTCTGAGTGTTCTTTTGTCCAGCTCAAACAATTCGGTTGAGTCCTTAGTTGTAGAAAAATTATCCAAAAGCAGTCAGTATGTTAGAGGTTCTCTGGAGAACCTTAATACAGTGCCTTTATAGGAAGAGACGCAAGAGTAATAATTTCTCTCTTGGGCATATGAGGATTCACTGAGAAGGCAACTATCTACAAGAGAGGGAGAAAGTTCTCACCAGACATTGATTTCTTAGTTCTGTTATTTTAAATTTATTTATTTATTTATTTGCTTATTTATTTATTTGATACAGGATCTCACTACACAGTTCAGGCTCATAGCGATCTTCCTGCCTTAGCCTCCCTAGTGCTGGGATTACAGGCATGTGCCACCACACCTGGTTCCAGGGCTGGCACTGCATGTGGTACCAGATACCTAACTCATGACCTTGCACTTGCCAAGCAGTTGCTTATGTCCCTGAGCTATCCTCTCAACCCTTTTTGGTTCTTTAATCTTGGTCCTCCCAGCTCCCAGAACTATGTGTAATACAAATCTGTTAATTCACTCTATCCATGGTATTTTTATTTAGCAGCTTGAACTAACAACCACAGTTAAGTTTTGTGGACAAACCTGGTACTACTTCTCCAACAAAAGTTATCTGATAATCTATTTTAAGTAATGGAGACAATCAGCAGTGATGCCATATCTGTAGCTTTTGCTGGGTCACTGAGAAGGAGCTTTGCCCTAGTAGCTAACAAAAATTTTATAGCAAGCATGCATTTTTCTCTAAGGCAAAAAAGAAAATTATGTAAGCCATTTTTTTAATACTTAGGTTATTTTTCCTTATAACATGCAAAGTGTACAATGCTCTAGAAATATTGGCCTGGTCATCAGGCCTATCATCTTTTTTAGATTCTTGGAAGGGTTTTCATATTCAAATATCAAAAAATCTCCCTGTTTGAAAATGCAAGATATCTCGAAGGTCTCTTAGAATATTGACAGCAAGGTTTAAAGAGCCTTGCTTCAAACCTGGCTGTGATACTTAGGAATTTCTTCTCAGGAAGGTGATATTGTGTTTGAATTTCAATTTCCTCATCTGCGAAATATTCTACAAATTTAGTCACAGGGTTGTTATAATAAAAATAATAACATTTATAAAATACCTGGTTCCCTACTTGACAAAGTACAGACCTCATAAAAGTCATATTCTCTTTATCTTGAAAACAGTGAACAAAGACAGGAACTATAAATTCATAGAAGTTTTTAAAAAATAATATCCCTAACTACTGTAAACAACCAAAAACAATAGCCTAATATAACCATGTACAGGATTTTAAAAAATTATAGGAATATATATATAATAGCTCAGTGGACTAAAGTCCCTGCTTAGGCAAGCTTAGGCAAGTGCCGGGACCATGTTTCAAACCCTAGCACTACATGCCATGCCAGTCGTGACCCCAGGGCAGGCTGAACCAGGTAGAGTCCGGGTGCAGTGGCACATGCCTGTAATCCCAGCACTGGGAAGGCTGAAAACAGGAGGATCACCAGGAGTCCAAGCTGCATAGTAAGATCTTGCAACAACCAAATTTATTTAGAAAATGCATATATAATATAAAATAATATATATTAATATGTAATATATAAGCATGAACTAGCATTATTCCATAAATCTGCATAAATTTCCATAATATTGGTCATTGTATAAATAAAACTGTATAGCCATATTGAAAGAAAGTTGAAGCAAAGTGAAATTAATCTAAGGGGACAAGGTCAGAAATAGTAATCTCCGGCCGTGGTAGCACATGCCTATAATCCTAGCACTTGGGAGGCAGAAATCAGGAGAATCACTACAAGTTTGGACTGTGTAGTGAGACCCTGCACAAAGAAAACAAAAAAAGAAATAGTAATCTTTGAAGGGAGTACAGATTGAAAGGGGGATAGAACGAACTTGTTGGAGTGCTGGGAATACTGTGTGTCTTTATCTACACAGTGGAGGATGATAGAGGGGTGTACATATGTGCAAATTCATCAAACTAATTCTCATTTCATGCATTCTACACTTGCAAGTGCGTTATTTGTATGTTTCATACTTTGATGAAAACAGCTTACTTTGACCTAGAGCTGGATTTTCTGACAACACCCGTTTGACTTTGTAGGAGAATGTTTCACTGTGACATCTCAGCAGCTGGCCACCTGGCAGGCTGTAGTCTTTCCCTTGTATGAGGCCCCATCTCACTGCCAGCCTGCAGCTAGGGGACAGGCATATGTATGAGGGTCATGCTCCATCATAGTTGACAGCTGGAGATGCCATCGCATGCCCCTGGCAGTGCAGCTCAGGGAAATGCAGGCAGTGGACTGTGCTTCCTGCCTCTGGGCTGTGAGGCACAAGTCCCAGCAATGAGAGGATTTAAAAAATCTCTCAAAGGGGAGGGGAGTGTGGGCCGCACAGTTTATAAATAGACATTGCTCAAGGCTGCCTGATGATGAAGCTTTTGTTTAGTAAATCTTTCTTCTTTAAGGATGCCATTGACAGAGACCATTTCAAAGTACCGTTTTCATTTTGTCTTCTGCGAACATTCTGGGCTTCGTCAGGTCAGCCTTGTGGGCTGGTATTCCTGTTGGGTTTAGGGCCAGACTCTCAGTATTTTGAATCACCTTTACATGGAGCACAAAGGTGATGATGATGGTGACGATGATGTGTCTTTTGCCAAATGGATGAGCAGCTTCTGGGGCCACAGCTGGCAAGAGGAGGAGAAAGGACTTCGGGAACACCACCGCCTGCATGGTACCAAGTACAGGAAAACCTCCCTGCCCTGCCCAGTGAGTAGTTATCATGGAATTAGGGGAGAGCTAGACGAGGGGAGGGGGTTTCTCTTCGAAAATTTTTGAAGAGTATTTTTCTTTGAAAACAGTACTTCCAGGGACTGGGGATGTAGCTCAGCAACTAAAGTACTTGCTTGGCAAATGCAAGGTCCTAAGTCCTAAGTTCAATCCATGGTATGAAAAAAAAAAAGAAAAAAGGAAAGAAGAAAACAGTACTTCCAAACCTCTTTAAATACCCTCGAAAACCCATTTTACCATTGTATCTTGTTTTTTAAGGGTTCTGATTTTGAATCTATTAGATAACAATTTCTTTGTTTTTTATAATCCAAGATTTTTTTTTTTTTTTTTTTTTTTTACCACTTAGGTCTTTTGATAAGCCTGAAATAATTCCACTGAGTGGTAGAATTCAAACCAAAGGAAAGAAACTTGGTGTTACAGTCTCTGTGACTTTCTGCATCAATGAGTGATTTCCCCTGTCTTTTTGAAATGCAAAAAAATAGCTTTACTGTTTGGGGGACCTCTAAGGAATTGGGGATTCTGCAAAACAAATAACCTCTGATAAATTGTTGTGCTTTTTCTCCTTTTTCTGATGAGGAAAACAGTGGAAATTCTCTGGTTAGCACCATTTGCCCATTGACAAGGCTGAGTGTCAGGTGGAGAACAAGATTTCAGCAGGACAGTTTCCAAGAGGGGAATCAGTCAACTGACCAGCACTAAGTACAGGGGGGCAAATCACTCTCCTCAACTGAGGTGCTGAAAAATCTCACTGTAGACAACTTTGTCCTGTGCTTCACAGTTATGTGACAATGATCTGGGTTTTGGTTTTCATAAGTTACTTAGGATTCTAGTCACCAGAAACTTCTTCCCCAGTCCCTTGCTTCTGCCAACTCCAGAGCCTACTAAGTCACGGGGTAAATTGATTTGACTTTTTTTTTTTTCAAATGTATTTAGTACAGGGTCTTACTACACAGCTTGGACTTGTAGTTCTTCTCCTGTCTCAGCCTCCCCAGTGCTGGGATTACAGGAGTGTGCCACCATGACCAGTCTTGGTGCCTGGCTTAGCACACCTGAGGGTGGGGCCAGTGCAGCACGGGGTGCCAGGAATCGAACCTAGTCCCTGCGCTTGCCTATGTAGGTGCTTAGTCTGCTGAGTTATCTCACCTGCAGACAGTTTGATTCACTTTTAGCTTCAACGTTTCCAAATGGATAATACCTGTGAGATGTAGTAAAATATACCAAAGAACCTCTTACTATTGCCACTCAGAAAGCTTGAGTAATGAAACCTCTCTGAAACACAGCTATTTCAAAATAGCTTTTTTACACACACTCTAGGACAAAAGCCAAGTGTCAACATTCCCTTGTTTTCTTTCTAGAAATGAAAAAGGAGAGTTGGACTTGATCTCTGAGAAACTTTGTAGCTCTAGCTTTCCATGATTCTGTTTTGTATGGCACTCCCCTTTTAATCTCTGTCTGTCTCTCTTTGTCTCTCTCTCTCTCTCTCTCTCTCTCTCTCTCTCTGTCTCTGTCTCTCTGTTTCTGTCTTCTGTCTCTGTCTCTCTGTCTCTGTCTGTCTGTCTCTGTCTGCCTGCCTCTCTGTCTCTGTCTCTGTCTCTTTCTCTCTCTGTCTCTCTCTCTGTCTCTCTCTCTCTGTCTCTCTCTGTGTCTCTGTCTCTCTCTGTGTCTCTCTCTCTCTCTCT